TGGTTGTATGCATGTTGGGCTGTGCACAGTTAGTTTAAAGTATCTACTCTGGTTGCACAGTGTGTTGGGCTGTGCACAGTTAAAGTATCCATTCTAGTTGTACAATGTATTGGGCTGTGCCTGGTTAGTTAAAAGTATCAGCTCTGGCTGTAGGGTGGTTGGACTGTGCACAGTTGAAGTATCCACTCTGATTGTGCTACCGGAGCTGCCAAGGGAAACGCTAACGCTGAGCAGGATAAAAAGGAAGGACTTTCTTTATGCTAGCACAGACTCAGTGGATTTGCATCCAGAGACTGAGCCCCAAACAAAGGCCACATGGGGCTTTTATGGGGCTCTTCTTGTGGGGTATTCGGGGTAAAAGGCTGATTGGTTACCTGCAAAAACAGCACCTGCAGTTAGCCATTTTTTACAGAAGTTAAATGTGCACAAGAGGAAGAGAGGAAGGGGAGTATGGGCAGAGGAAGAAGGGAGGGGGAGCAGGGCAGAGGAATTTTCCACTCTCTATACATTGTTTTTCAAGTTGGCCCGAGCCAGATGTCTCTGGCCTCACAACAAGTTGTTTCACTGCTCAACAGAACTTCCCTACTTAGGTTGGGCAAAAGTTATAATTCATTGTTAACATTTTTTTCAATTCTCTCTCCTGCCTCAATTGTATGGTGGGTTGGGCTGTGCACGGTTAGTTTAAAGTATCCGCTCTGGCTGTATGGCGCGTTAGGTTGTGCACGGTCAGTTTAAAGTATCCACTCTGGCTGTATGGTGCGTTAGGCTGTGCACGGTTAGTTTAAAGTATCTGCTCTGATTGTATGGTGCGTTGGGTTGTACACGGTTAATTTAAAGTATCCGCTCTGATTGTATGGTGCGTTGGACTGTGCATGGTTAAAGTATCCGCTCTGGCTGTATGGTGCGTTGGGCTGTGCATGGTCAGTTTAAAGTATCCGCTCCGGCTGTATGGTGTGTTGGGCTGTGCACAGTTAGTTTAAAGTATCCGCTCTGATTATATGGTGCGTTGGGCTGTGCACGGTTAGTTTAAAGTATATGCTCTGATTGTATGGTGCGTTGGGTTGTACACGGTTAAAGTATCCGCTCTGATCGTATGGTGCGTTGGGCTGTGCATGGTTAGTTTAAAGTATCCACTCTGGCTGTATGGTGCGTTGGGTTGTGTACGGTTAAAGTATCCGCTCTGATCGTATGGTGTGTTGGGCTGTGCATGGTTAGTTTAAAGTATCCACTCTGGCTGTATGGTGTATTGGGCTGTGCACGGTTAGTTTAGAGTATCCACTCTGGCTGTATGGTGTGCTGGGCTGTGCATTTGGGATGCATACCTTTTCTACGTTCATAAACCAGAAAGTAAACAAAGCGAAGAATCTGCCCTGGCACTACCACATTCACTGGTAGTGCTACTCTCTTCACATGCATCCGAGGGAATTTGGAATAAGAATGAGCAAACAGTGCTGTTGAACTATGCTTGCTGAACAAAGGCATGCTTACAGAGCAGGATGCATGTGGCTCTGCAGCTCCACGTGCTGGACGGTGGTCCTGAGCCCAGTGGTCTGAAGTCAGTGCTCCAGCCGCCTTGGATGGCCTTCAGGCCTCAGTGGTGTCACCATGGGCCCCCGCGGGGCAAACGGTAAATGGCGGCCGATGTTTGAGCTCACTGGTGTATTTACAACAGCCTTTGTGTTCAGTTACTCACATTTGTGATTTGAGCTTATTGTTGCCAGAGGTGTTTACTGCAGAAATAACAGAGAATACAGCCAGTTGTAGCTTTACATCATGTACCCCAGCAAATATGTGCAGACCACCCTGTCTCTGCTTTGTGTCTATGTCACATCAAGACGGCCTGGCGACATACCTTACTGGCACAGCTGGGCACTGAGTGCCCCCTGTCCTTGGAAGTGGCTGTGTAGGCTCACACCTCACCGGCTAGGTACCAAGCGCCCCCCACCTTTGGCAATGGTCTGGTGGGCTGGAAAGTCCAGCTGCTGCTTGCCCTCTAGTGCCACACTGTGTGACTGTGAGTACTTGTGAGACCGGCTCTGTCTGAACCGTGGGGTCCAGCTCGTGGAATGCATTCACTAACAAAATGCTGGAGGTGGGCCTGTGATCACCTGCAGCCTGGTGGCTCCTTGCGGTGATGTCGGCACACTAAGTTGTGTTGCTGCTGTTGTTAAGTGCCATCGACTCGTCTCCAACTCACAGCAACCCTCTGCACAACAGAACGGAACGCTGCCCGGTCCTGTGCCGTCCTCACAGTCCTTGCTGTGACTGAGCCCATCGTCGCAGCCACCGTGTCAGTCCATCTTGCTGGGGGCCTTCCCCTTTTTCGCTGACCCTCCACTTTACCGAGCATAACATCCTTCTCCAGAGAATGGTCCCTCCTGACAACATGACCAAAGTAGGTGAGACAAAGTCTGGTCATTCTCGCTTCCAAGGAGCATTCTGGCTGCACTTCTTCCAGGATAGATTTGTTAGTTCTTTTACCAGTCCATGGGTGTTCTGGTTACCTAGTGCTGCTCTGATAAGAATATACCACAAATGGATGGCTAGACAAACATGAGTTTATTCTTTTACTGTTTGGAGGCTAGAAGTCCGAGTTCAAAGTGCCAGGCTCTAGGGGCTGGGTGAAAGCCTCTCAGCCTTGGCCTTCAACTCTGCCTCCTGCTCCTGGCCCACTGAAGCTGGAGGCTTTTCTTCATTCAGCTGCTGGTTGCTGAGCCTGACAAACTTAAGGTTGACAAGTAAAAAGGCACAATCCCGATGTTAGCAAACTACACAGCAGGCCATTAATTCAAGTCCATTGAAAGTCCCAAAGTCAAGGACTTCCAGTAAGATGGAGAAATAGGCAGACAAATGACACAGACCCTGTTCAACAAAGAAAAGAAAAACCAATT